GGCATTCCGCCCAGGAACTTACAAAAACTTGCACTGCCAGCTAAATTCATACCTTGCTTGCTGCACCAATCTAGGACTTGAACCATTCCCAGCTGCAGAATTAACATTATGTATATGTGCATGCGTGCTTTCGCATTCATTCAAAAGCACTTAATCAATCAGAAACTATGTATCTGGTATCAATACCTGGCACAAGCTTTTAGGTTTTTGTAATGACAGTTTTCACAGCATCGACGTCAAACTTACCCTACGGGGACTAGAGAAAACTATGTCATCTATGCCGCATCAGAAACTTCCAATTTTACCAGAACATTTATTAGCTATGAGACAGTATTTGGACCTGGATAACGAATTTGATATAGCTGTATGGGCTTGTATTTTGTTTCTTCGAAAGTCAAACATGGTGCCTACGTCACGCCACAAATTTTTACCGCAAGAGCAACTCCGTCGCATGGACATCTCATTTGCAGTGCAAGGTCTAATGTTACACACCCAGTGGTCAAAAACTCGTCAGAAACATGACTTTTGGCATGTTATTCCTGTAGCTAAAATACCTAACTCGGTCATTTGCCCGGTCACTGCATATTGTAACATGTTAATTCACATCCCTGCCTCAGCGGCCTCACCTGCCTTTGTATACTCTCATTCAGGATCTCTCACTCCTCTTACTAGTCATGCTCTCACCCGAAAATTTAGGTCTTTGGTCATTGACATTGGGCTTGACCCCTTAAACTATACTGTTCATGGCCTGCGTAGGGGAGGAGCTACTTTAGCAGCAGCTGCAGGCGTCTCAGATCACCTCATAAAGGCACATGGTGACTGGAAGTCTTTGGCCTACAGAGGCTACATAGCTCTTCCACCCTCATTTCGTTTTTTCGATCACCCAGGCTATGGCCAGTACTTTCAACTTTTAGACAGTTACCTTAAATCTATTTCAGCTTTGATTAGCAACTTTAAGCTTGTATTTTCAATCCCTTGTTGCCTAGAGCGCCCCCTATGTTAGTAGTTTGGGTAATGTATTTCCCATCGTCATTTGCGGCCCGCCATCTTTGAGTTGGCTACTTTTTCACCCATCCCTACCGCAGACCCATTTTTATTTTCCTAGTTTTATTGTGTTTCTCTTTTACCTTTATACTTGTACATTTTGTATTTAGTTAAGCCTGGGTGCTTTTGTGCTATTTTTGCTGTTCACTAATAAAGCACCACCTTTTCTGCCAAGCTGTTGTAGTGTATTTTGTTTCAGTAATTATATAAAAAAAAAACAGGTATGAAAAAAATTATAGTACAGCATCATGCCTAACAAAATACTAATTAACATGTTAAATTAATCCATGTGCTGGATTAATCTCATAACGTAAATTGTATGAAATTTGCATTATAAGAGTTGGCGAAAACAGTACACTGTGCTTGCAGCCTCTCACATCAATAAATACAATATAAGTGATTAACATAAATATTATGTAAATTATATAAATATATACTATTGACACGCGAATACTAGTAGTTTGTTTCTAAAACTGAATCCACAAACATCTAACACATTCATCTGCCCTGGAGGATAATTGTTTCTGGGGTGTCACGTTCTTCCTGAAAAAAACAAACGAATAATAGTACATGGTGAATTGATAGCGTTGTTGGCCCGATCGTAAACATGCGTGTTGACGGTGACCAATCTGTCAACCGGGAGCAGCAGAAAAAGCATACTTCATGAATTCTTAGTTTAGAAACGATCGACTAAAAGAAATTTTCTAGTAACGATCGTGATTGGGATAAAACGACTTGAAGTTGATACCGGGTCACCGACGCCGATCCAGAGGAAAACAAAAAAACATTAGTATCAGATGAAATACTTATGCCAGTAAACAGAAATCCAATACAATCAATGCCAAACTGGTTAATGAATGCTACTTACTTGTTATTTTAGACAATGATCTATCATTGAAAAAACTGCGTTGTTATTAAGTTGTATGAGGTCCAGCTGACGCAAAAGTATCTGCCGTATGCCGCCATGTTTTGAGTCATGCTCAGGCGCGTTTGTAACCAGTGATCTGATTGGCTGGACCCTGGGCGAGATTTGTATAGGTATTGAGTCAGATGTAGTTAGAGGTGACTGAAACACGATTTTCTAAGAACTGATTAACGGCAAGAAAAAACAAAAAATCGACATATTCGAACTAAAATACAAATAAATAGAATATTAAGGGTTAGGCCAGACTTTTCTTATCCCTTGTTTCGCGAACCCGCCGAATGAACAGAAGCCAAAAATGAAATAAAAATACAATTTTATTTCAGCATAATTTCTCGTGCCTGCCGACTTCTCAGCGCAAGTTGCATTTTCGTGGGAGTATCATGATCAAAGTACTAAAGTCTCGCCCAGATGAGAAACAAGGTTATACACGGAATAAAATTTTATTTAATTTCTTCTCTTCGATCAATGATCTCACTTACAATTCTTTGAGAATCACACAAATCTAATGAAAAAAAAGAATTAATTTTATTTTTTTCCTGCCCTGCTCAAACAAAATGCCTTATAAAAACACGAGAAACAAGGAATAAAAAAAGTCTGGCCTTATATATACAAAAAAAAAATTCGAGCCTCATACCTACATCGGATTTTAATCAGATTGGCTATACTTGAAAACCATGGTATTTGGAACAGTGAAAACAATGCTGGCAGAATGAGAAACACTATTTAGCTTTCAAAAATAATATGCATTGCTATGTTGCTCTCAATGAGATATCAAAAGGCATTCGCTAATAAGAATCTTTGTACACAGCTGCCCTTCACAAATACACACTAAGATGACAGATGAAAGTATGTTAATATTGCCAATTAATTCATAGGAATTTACATAATCTTGATTTATATATGTAGTATATGATAAATTTAAACAAGAAAGTTATGATTCACTGTTGGTGTTCTCATTTAGAGCAAGATTGATTGATTTGCACTAATTACATTAAATGTGTTCTTGCCTATATGATGTTTTTATTAGGGGCAGATAAAGAACATTAGTGTGAATGTAAAAGAAATGGACATGCATTCTGTTGATGGACAAAAAATACATGTACATTATCACCATAATCATATTCATGTTAATATGAATTGTTGTAAAAATAATACATACTCAATCATTTCATCAGAAACATACATAAATATTATATATATATATATAGGATAATAATAAAACTGTATTTCTTTAATTTAACAAATACAAATCAATGCTACTCATTTCAGAAAAGATAAAAAATAATTTTTGAAATATTTATTATTGCACACACTTATATAATACACAATATAAAAACATAATATGCAATTATTAAAAAACAAAACAATTGTAGAATGAACGCTGCTATAAATAAAAAACCTACCGTCACGATCTGTCATATTCTCTTGAAGTTCCTCTGCAGTATCGACGGTTTACGTTTTCTTCGAGTCGAAACAGATTGCAGCTTTTAAAAAACACATAAACACGATTTGGGTGTTCAAATACCATAACTACGCCATGGACACCGGTTTTCACAGAGAAAACAACCCAAATTAACAAAATTCTGGATTTGGTCTATCTGCTGACAGCTGGGAACATTTGTTGTGGTAGCTATCTTTGAAAGTAGTGCCAAAAATATTGACTGTGACGCCGCGACCAATCACCGACGAGCATAAGAATCGTGGTGGCAGAGATATATTCGTAGAAATAGAACTCTGCCTGGGAGATTGGTTGACACCTTCAAATTCGACAGACAAGACTATCGTTCACCGGACATGGTGCATCGTGTTCATGGCTTGTCGACACTTTATCACACACTGTCGCCGGCACTGTGTGTATCATCCTTCGCCCTCCAGAAACAAAATTAGTTTAAATTTTATTTTACTAAATTATTCTGTAACATGTTCAATAGAATGTTCCGGAATGTTCTGATTTCTCATTGTTCTATGTAATTCCACACATAATCAGGCATACGCACACCGGATTGGTCATTGTTTATCATTTTTATTATATTATCATATTTATCAAGTTAAATAAATGATTGAACTTATGAAATGATTATACATAATCAAATAAAATATAATTATTTAGGGGCACATGTTGCTCGAGAAATTAGACTTCATAATGAACTTGCGCTGAATGTTGGCATATGTCTAAATACTACTCAACATTATTGACGTTGAGCACATGCATTATAGTCAATTTAACTCATTTTACTAATCAAACCTTCCAAAAGTACGGCGTCTGGAGTCGGAGCTGCTGACAAACTCCTCTGCTATTTCTCTGATGTTTTCTTGTTGCAGACGATGGACATTAATGGAAACCATATGATGGTTTAACCTCTGCTGAGTCATAGTGCTACGAAGCCATGTCTTCATACGTTAAAGAGTGCTGAAAGATCTCTCTGCTTCTACAGAGCTGGCAATAGAGACGAGTAGTAGTCGCAGTAGATTCAATGAAAATACTATTGCATTTTCAAAATAAAAAACCTGAAATGAAAACTTCAAAAGTATAGATTAACAACTATTTGCATATTTATACGTCTATTTTAGGCTTTTGACTGTAAACTGAGAACAGACTTCTCAATGTAGAGTGAACCAAGCGAGTATTGGTCACCAAATCGGGAGAATAATACACTGGAGAAGAGCACTTGTAGCCAAGGTGTTTATTGCTCAACTGCTAGGCCTGGAAGTGACTCTCGAGATGTTCCATGACAATGTATCAATTTCATTACGCAAATAACTAAACTAAACGTCATAGCCTCAAATCATTACATTCCTTTCCCATTATAGAGGATGAAAGTTCTGTTTTAAAAACTTTGAGATACACTTGAAAACACTTTGAACTCAATAATAACAAGTTAAATATAACCATATACACCAGCAAACAATTCTAAAATATGGCCGTGCTGGAGTACCTGGATAAACTTAATATCTAACACATGATATTTAGGTGATAGAAAAGCACCAAGCCGCACATAACATTCATCATTTTTTTTTTACTCATACTTCACTCATACAACTGCTGAAAACTAATTTGGGAAGTCAATTCACATCTGACTGCCATGCTCTTGACAAGCCATCAGCGTTGCCATTTTCGACCCCTTTTTATGTTGGAAATTAATCTGGTACCCTTGCATGGTCAGACTCCAACACTTCATTCGCGCAATTGATTCAACCATTTTAAAGGATGATAGTCACTCTCAACAGTTAAATGCTCTACCATACAAATATTGGAATAATGCTTCCACTGCTCAAACAATGGCCAAACATTCCTTTTCATAGTTGCATAATTCATTTCACGTGGCAACAACTTACTACTGATGTATACCATAGGATGTTCTTCTCCTTTTTTTCTTTAAACGCTGCCACCATATGTAAACTGAGAACAGACCAAGTGAGTATTGGTCACCAAATCGGGAGGAGAATAATTAACTGGAGAGAAGCACTTGTAGCCAAGGTGTTTATATTGCTCAACTGCTAGGCCTGGAACTGAGTCTAAATACTCACGAGATGTTCCATACAATGTATCAATATCATTATGCAAATAACTAAACTAAACGTCATAGCCTCAAATCATTACAGACTGTTATCCCCAGAACTCAGATTAAACGGAAACATCGCACATAATCTTTATCACCAGCGTATCAACATTACATGACGTTTCCTTAGATTAAGCATCATTTGTCCAAGGAATCATGATGAGAATAGTGCCATAAATTATGATCTTGCAAAGGTTTCAATGAGTCACACACCTGTAATGAAAGCATAACAAATAAATTAACATTTGCAAATTTAATGATACCAATTTATTTTTATTTTATCTATACAAATTTAATGAATAAATTCAATTTTTAACAAATGCATTAATTGTAGTCATTTCCACAGTCCCTTTAACAGAAAGAAAAGTAATCTTAACTTTTGATATATAGCAGTAATAACAAAATGTATCAGTAAATGGGAATAAGTTTTTGTTAGAAATAATATCTGCATCTCCATCAATGGCGTCATTTTAC